ATACATTTTAGTCCTTATTTACACTTTCAGTTTCTCACACCAGAGAAGCTATTCAGTATTTATACGGGTGTGTCCTATTTATTTCACTTAAGAGTATCGCCTCAATCTGCATCTACTTAGCTATAAATGTCTCTAATTTCTCATTTTTTATGGCCGAGTAGTACTCCATTTACTGTTCTTGTGAGTAGAAGCCAGTGATGCTACTGAACATCCTGTAATGTACAGGGCTGCATCCCTCCCCCGAAACAAGGAATTATCTTGCCCCAAATGTCAGTTTTGCCTAGGTTGGGAAACCTCGCTCTAATCCCATAGATGTACTTTAATATCATTTTGTACCTACTGTTATGAGTCTGCTCCTTACCTTCACAAATATTTCTCAAGCAGTAAAGACTGTTTATAAGCTTCTTTAGAATAGACTTCATTTAAAATTACATTGAAAAGAAAGAAATTGTTGTATGAAATTTTACGTGGAATCAGAACTGTAAAACTTGTTTTGAATGTCACTGGCAAAAGAAGAAGGCTGAGAAATGCTAAGTGTACAATTTAAAACATGTTTATTTTATGAAAAGATACAACAAAATTTCATAGTCAAGTAATAAGAGAATAACAGTAATGATAGCTATTACACTGTGTATCATTATCTTCAAATTAATTACTCAGAGTATTGGTACAAGAAATAAGTCAAAAAGATACTTACAAAAAAGAAACAAACAAATAATGACACAAATCTTTCTTGTCAATGAACTAAGATAAGCTAGTAGTATAAGTGAAACCAATAAACATATATATTGAGATATTTTTAAAACATAGGAATTGTAGTTCAGGAAAGTATTTGAATTTCTCTCTATTTCCCATTTACTTCTTTTCTATTTTGTTCTTTGTGTTTTTCATATAAGAGAAACCATGGAATTTTTGAGCTTATGTGTCTGACTTATTTCACTTAACATTATTTTTTCAAGTTGCATCCATTTACTTATGAATGTTCCTACAATTTACCCCTGTTGGAAAAGTCTAAGAGATAATATGCATGAATGTAGAAGAGCATATTTAGCAGAGATCCCAGGAAATAATATGGCCTCAATTTATTTCCTGGATTTTTGTTGCTGATCACTAAAGTCAGGCACAAGATGAAGTTCACCCTGCCGCTATCACTGTCCATCTTGGACAAAGAAACTAATTCTAGGAGTTAAATTATATTGTGTGACTTGTACCATAATAATCAAGTTATTTGGGTTTTGCTTTTACTCTTTTTCACCATCATTAAAGCAGAGGGAAAGGATGAGAGATAGTGACCGGAAAAGCTTGAGATTCTTTTCCATGCCTCTAGATAGTCCTCTCAATCTGGTCTTCTTCAATGTTATTTAAATCTTCAGGCCCTAACTGATTCCCCATATTATTGCTAATAATTACATTTTATTAAGGAATAAATGATATAAGGATGTAGAAAATATTCTTACATAATCTAATCATTTATTTTCTTGTTTCTGAGCCTGTATCTCATTTCATAAAGGTGGTATGATCTTATTTAAAATAATATAGTACAACAAAGCTGTGAGAAGGTAAAGGAATCAAGCAGGAAATAAGGTTTAAATGATAATCTGAGAAGTTTACAGAAATGCATGCAATACAGGGCACACATCCTATGAGCTTCACGGAAGGTAGCAAAGAGGAAAACATGAGATTAAAAAACAATTTCATTTACTCAACAGAGTTTAAGATATTTCTTTTTGGAAAGAACTTTAAAAGAAATCTCTCCCACATATCCTGATTTTTTAAAAAGCTGATAAAAGGTTATGTAATGTTTAACGCCCTCAGTATTCCTAAAAATGTATTCAAAAGCAAATTTCATGTATCAGTTAATAAGAATAAAATTGAGAACACCACGAGTTGATTTAGTAAATGTCATTTGAGTGTTCAGAAGGCATGTGGGAGGGAGTGAAGGAAATGATGTATATTGAATTGAAACAATGTGGCCTACATTTACAGGTCTTCAATATTATTTGATGCAGGAATGATTAACTACATTTGGGGAAATGGGTGAATTGAACATCATTCGAACTGTCCTCAGTGTTCAGCCTGTTGGTGCAGAGTATAGACATTTTGTTTCTTAATATTTGTCTTTTTTTCATTCAATAAGGATTCATTGCATGAAACATTAGGATACCTCCTTTGTTTTAGATACTGATATAGGTATGAAGCATTGTGAAAAGAGGGACTTAGTCTCTGGCCTCATGGACTTTCCCCTAGTGTATGGCCTGTGTACCATACAACAATCAACAAGAAAACATAAGTAATATTAGAGTGTGACAAATGCTGAGACTTGTTTATTACAAAGTGGTAGAGTAAGTGGTATGGGATGAGGGACAATTTAGAGATGATTTCAGAAAAGGTCTTTGAGGAATTGACATTTCAGCTGAGGAATGGATACTACGAGTGGAGGCGCTGCGTGTGGGGATGGAATTGCCATGTTGGAGAGATAGAAAAGGGACTGGAATATCTGGGGGTGGTGACAGAAAGATACAAGCCCAGGCTGCCTGTCGAGGAGACTGCAGGAGGGTATAATCTGAGTGAAGATTTTATTCCAAATTCCATGGGAAGCCATTGCAGAAGCTTCAGTGGAGGAGTCATTTACGTTTTGAGAAGGTATCATTTGCAATTTGAAAAGTTGATCTTGACTATTGTGTAGACAATGGATTATGAAGACAGTGGGGGAAGTGGGGAGGTCATTGAGGAATTCATTCCACTAGTCCAGCGGAGAGAGTGAGATACCATGAGGCAGCACAGCAGCTGTGGAAATGACCAGAGTGAATAGACTCAGCTAGCACCAAGAGAATGAAGGGGTGAGAGCGGGGAATTGGCATGATTCTGAGTCTCTACAAACTCTGTAACTTAAAAACCATCTTTTGAGCCAGGGGTGGTGGCGTATGCCTGTAATCCCAGCTCTCAGGAGGCTGAGGCAGGAGGATTGTCCTGAGTTCAAGGCCAGCCTGAGCCATATAGTGAGTTCTAGTCCAGCCTGAACTACATAGTGAGAACCTTTTCAAAAAACAAACAAATAAATATAAAAATTGTCTTTTTTATGAACATTTGCCTTAGTAAACAACAGCTTCATCTCTTTATGGCAGAAAGAACTAAGGTTTTCTTTAAAAGGTGTTTGTTGTGTTGGCTCCAAACACAGGCAAATGAAAAAGAAAGCCTCTAAGAGATTAGAAAAGCTAATGTAAATTCTATTTTTTTATTAAAAGAATTGCTTAATTCTCTTTCATGGTACCCTTAGTATTTGATAAAACATATTTTCAGATCATGAATGTTCAGAAGATACTGATCCTGTTTTAAAGAATTATTTGTAAGCTGAGCAAGGTAGTACACACCTGTGATCCCAGCACTTGGGAGGCGGAGGCAGGAGAATTGCCACGAGTTTCAGGCCAGCCTGGGCTACCTAGTGAGACCCTGTCTCAAAACCCAAAAACAAAAAAATAATAAATAGTCGTTTATGATTACTCTTCATTCTAGAAAAGAAAAGCAGTGTGTCCAGTCTAATAAGGAAGGACATATAAATATTAATTAGAGCCACGCTAATTTAGAAATATGCAAAGGTTAAAAGTCTCATTTCAGCAGACTGAACTGTTTGATTTTTT